AGTGAGATTGAGAGGTTCTATAGGTAGCTATTTGCAGCTATTCTATACACATCATCGTTGGAGCCACACGCAAGTGTGAGTAACGATCCAAGAGCGAGTCTTATCCGACACTATTCCGATGATATCACGGACGTCAGTCTGAGCGAGATTAGAATGGCTCTCCAGCACCTTAAAAACGGCAGGGCGCCAGGCGAGGATAGAATTACAGCGGAGCTTCTGAAAGCGGGTGGAAAACCGGTACTTGAAGTCCTTTAGAAGCTCTTTAATATCGTCCTCCATGGTGGCATTACACCGGAGGCGTGGAGCAGAAGTGTGGTGGTCTTGTTCTTCAGGAAAGGCGACAACGCTCTCTTGAAGAACTACAGACCGATTTCCCTTCTGAGCCGTGTCTAGGTGCTGTTTTTGATAGTCATTACGAATCGTCTCGCGCGCAGACTTGACGACTTCCAGCCTCCCAAACAAGCCGGTTTCCGAAAAGGCTTTAGCACCATAGACTACATACATACCCTTCGGGGAATTGTACAGAAGTCCGAGGAGTACAATTTGCCACTATGTCTTGCGTATTTGGACTATGAGAAAGCCTTTGATTCTGTCGAAAGTTGGGCGGTGCTGCAGTCCCTTCAGCGGTGCCACGTTGACTGTCGGTATAACGAAGTGTTGGAGTGCTTGTACAGTAGGGTTACGATGGTTATCCGACTACAGAACCAGAGTACGAAACCTATCCAATTGCAGAGAGGTGTAAGGCAGGGTGACGTCATATCCCCGAAACTCTTTACCGCGGCATTGGAAGACGTTTTCAAGCATCTGGACTGGAAAGGATACGGTATCAACATCAATGACGTGTACATCACTCACCTTCGATTTGCCGACGATATAGTCCTTATGGCTCAATCGCTGGAGAACCTAAGCACTATGCTCAATGACCTCAATAGTGTTTCCCAACGGATAGGTCTTAAGATTAAAATGGACAAAATAAAGATCATATTTAATGTCCATGTCACACCTATGCCGGTAGTTGTTGGGAGCACTAAGCTCGAAGTTGTTGACGAGTATGTTTACCTGGGACAAATAGTCCGACTAGGTAAGTCCAACTTCGACCGAGAGGTCAATCGACGGATTCAACTCGGTTGAGCAGCCTTCGGGAAATTACGGCACATCTTCTCGTCAGATATACCTCAAAACTTGAAAACGAGACTGTACAACCAGTGCGTATTGCCAGTGATTATATGGAACTGAGACGTGGTACTTCACTGCTGGCCGGATAAGGAAGCTCAACGTCGCTCAGCGAGCTATGGAGAGGGCTATGCTCGGAGTTTCTCTGCGTGATAAACTTAGAAATGAGGATATCCGCAGTAGAACCAGAGTGACCGACATAGCCCAACGGATTAGTAAGCTGAAGTGGCAATGGGCCGGCCATATAGCTTGAAGAACCGACAACCGATGGGGAAAAAAGTTTTCGAGTGGCAGCCTCGTACCGGCAGGCGAGGTGTATGGCGTCCCCCCCACTAGATGGAGTGACGACCTGGTAAGATATGCAGGTAGTCGATGGATGCAGGTGGCTCAGCACCGTGCTTTGTGGCATTCCTTGGGGGAGGCCTATGTTCAGCAGTAAACTTGTGAAGGGCTGTAATGATGATGATGATGATGATTCTATTCGGGTTTGCGAGAGACAGACGAGATCCAAAATTTTTGAATTTAGTTTATAAGAACAGAACAGCTTTCATGCATGATTCCGTACCGCTTTTTGCTTTCGTTTCCGTGAAAATTAGATGTTTGTCCCTCAATGAGATTGTATGGTATACACACACAAACATAAGATAATAACTTGCTTGAATTCCACGCAAACGAAAGTGATGGCTCATGTTAGTGTTCAGTAACAAGGCATTTACACTTGTGTCGTCTCTCTTGTGATTGCTTATATCGTCTCGCACCACACAGTACAGTACAGTGAGTGCTATGTAATTTTTAGTGCTGTATGTAAGTAACTCGGCGAGAATGGAAAATACTAGTGTGATTTAGTAGCCCACACGACATAAGTATTAGGTTATAGAAATAGTCTAAAATAATATATAAGGGTATATCTTTATGTCATCCTACCACACACTCCCACCGTGTGGCGGTGTAAGAATATCCACTACCTTATATATCGTTCCGTGGGTGTCGTAAGAGGAGACACAGGGAAAGAAACCAGGAGGTGGCTAACACCGTCTTGCTAATAGTAACAAAAAAATAAAAACTGTGGTAGCCAACCCACTTTCCAAGCGTGACAATAATGTCAAAGCCTAACTATGAGGCAATCTATTGGATATTGGATATATGTTCAGCAGTAGATTTTATATGCTGTAATGGATGGATGGATGAGACAGAAAGAAATTATAGTATCTTTAAGTCTTGCGGTGGTGTGCTTAGGTTTGGATTTAATATTATTAATTGTAAGATCCCAAGCAGATGCTAGCACCCATCCATTTTCTCTATTGAAATTAGGATGTATTTTAATTTAAAAAAAATATTGAAATTAGGATGTTTTATAGATAGAAAATTCTTTATTGCCCTCGAACCAAAAAATTATAATTTGGTACAAAGGCGAACTTAATGCCAAAAAGGCATTCTCTGCCAGCTAACCTTTGGTAGTGTGGTGAGAGCTATGGGTAGAATAGAGCCGCAAGAGAATTTTATTAGGGCAGCGTTCGGCAGATTACGACATATATTCCTCAAAACGTAAAACCAAAAGTATACAACTGGTCCCATTTAGTTTACATGAGGTTCGATATTTTAGCTTCAAATTGTAGGGACATCGACTTTGTTATTTTTAAACGTTACGACGTTAAAATTTCTCCAGTATTATAAATTGTGTTATATACAACTAGCGATCCACTCCGGCTTCGCACGGGTGATTCCGGGATCTCAACAACATGGCTACCTACCGGGTCGAAATGTCGAATCTAAACTATCTAGGGACATATTCAAACACAGAAAAAATCACCGAAATCGGTCGAGCCGATTTGTTTGTCTCATGCGTGAAACGAACTCCCAACCTGCAGCGCCGCAGCAAAACGCCAACAACTCAAGTTTGCCTATTTCAATTATATAAAAAAGTGTATTTCGATGTATGTCACAACACCATTTTAGCACTAATCCATGTGACCTGGATATAGTGCATGATTGTTCACGCAACACCAGTTTGTTGCTTTATTTTTGCCTTGTTGTTGTCATTCTATTGGATATAATCGATTTTGATTCGATGTTAGTGTTTTAAGTACCAACTTTGATTACGAATTTAATCGCGTGTTATTTACTGGCATTGCTCTCTATCTGTTCGTAAAGTTTCATCACAACCAGTTCAGCCATCCCGAAGATTAGCCTGGACAGACAGACTGACAAAAATTTTAAAATTGGTTAATTGTGTTTAATAGTATACAAATAAACCCCCTGAGCTTAAAGCCGAACGTCCACCGCAAACTTAACTAACTTCGTTTATCTTAGCTCGCATAGCTGAGCCAGTATTTCATACATGTGCTTCCACCGTAAACTTTGCTAGCTAAGCCTGGTAAAATAACCAAACTAACTCAAACTAACTTAGTTGTGTAAGCCGATTCGAAACTACGCGAACTAAGCTAAGCGACTCTCACCCCCTTACCTTATTTCTCTGGCGCCTTTTGCTTAGTATTGTTTGTTTTAGCTTATTTTTCGATGGACGTGCAACGATTTTCCAGGTTAGCTTAGCTTAGTTAACTAAGCCTAGTTTTCACATAAGTTTAGTTCGCGGTGGACGTTCGGCTTTACAGAAGCCGGTTATATATAATATTACAGACAGACACGGTGTCTGAGAGCCTTCAATTTATTTATTTGTTAGAATAGTGACAGATCTTTTTCATTAATTAAACATGTTTATCATGAGATACTATAATACAGTATATTATACTAAACAGCATAATGTAGTCACTAAGGTGCTAGGCACATGTCTCCAAAAATAAAAACATTAAAACAGTGGATAGAAATTACTCTTTGCAACCATATTTTTTCATAAAAAATAGGGTTGACACTTTCATTAATAAATAATTACATCGTAGGTATGATTTGAATATGCTACTTTTCGTAGTGATTTAAAACGAAAAATATGCAACTAAGATGTTTGTTTTACTATAAGAAACTACGACGTCATTAGCTGTTATTCTAATACAATTTCTACGGAAAATTCTCATTTTGCAGCCAAATAATTATACTAATACATTGCGCACTAATTTACGATCAATTCTCCGTAAATCCTTTAGTCGACTGCGAGCGGGCGAGAAGATTAGTTATTTGTTTAGTAAACCGTTAACGTTGTTTTCAAGTCAGGCAACGTTTTCATTATTTAAGTGCGCGGTTTTTTAACATGATTTGAAGTTTATTTCAGATAAGTATGTATGAAAATACAACTGCATGGTATATTTACCGTGTCAATGATCCGCACGCGCCCGCGCGATCCACAGCTTTAACAAAGTTTTTGTTCTGAATTGCCGGTCTAGTAGTATACATAGAAGTCTTTTGTTGTCAACACATAAAATAGTTGACATGAACGTCTACTACCCTCATTGTTTTACTTGTCATCAGAATGCAACGATTATTATTTAAGACTTTTTTTGCTCAATCTTTAATAAGCTACGAGTACAAAGCTTACATATAGAGTCAAATTCACATTTTCACACACATCCAGGTAGATGTCGCAGTTTTTTATTGCATCAAAGTTGATGATTGCTCGGCATGTATCTTAACAATAATACTCATAGTAGAGTTAAAATTACATGTATTAATGTTCTTTTGGTTTTCATTCAATTATAAATCACACAAAGTGCGTAGTGGCTTGTAAAATAAATATTGTGATCTTGCAATCTTTTTAGCATGTTTTAATCGTCACAACTTTGCCATTAAATTCGACACAAATAAGAACTGGTCGCAGTGAATAGTTTAAAATTGTAATTTTTACTTAGAGTATATTTTAATTGTTATAAATCTTTCAGTCCACATGTATCGCCAGAAACAACCAATCCGTCTACTTCAGGCCTTCAGACGACGCTCGCGGAAGAGACAGACATCATGAGAAAAGATGAAGAGGAGACAAACGGAGGAAAGGAAAATGAAGGGTCCGTATCGGACTGGATCTCTGGAGGACCGATTGGTTCTAAAGGAGCCGTTCTTATATTTAGATCCTGCGTTCTCGCATCTAGAACCCCCTCAACGGAAACAACGAAGACTGTAGGAAATAACACTGGAAATAATATTTTGTTAAATAAAGCTAAAAATATGGCTAAAAGACTAGTATCTGAACCCCACTCCTTTAGCGTTAGACCGAAAAATATCATGCACGATGTAATGGAGACTTTTGGAACTGTTAATAAGATTTCCGGGCAAGCCTACGTTGTAAGGCATGTTAGTAACACTGATGTTCCGGAAGCACTTCCAGTAGAGGAACAAGGACATGAAACTGCGGAACACAAAAGAGATATAGATGACGTGCTCAATGATCTCAGTAAAATAACACTAAAAAAGCATTTAGACATCGAAAATACAACCGCTAACATCAAACCAGCCGAGGATCCACCTACGAATGATAAAGGTGAGATAAGCTAAAATTAAGATCTCTTGCTCTATATACTACGTATACAGGCTGATTTAGTCAAATTTTATATTGAAGTTCAAATAAATAAATTACTATATACCGTTATTACATTTTTGAAAATACGAGTATATAAAATAAGGTTTCTACTTTTATTTGAAATTTTCCCAAATTTAACGTGATTTATGGAAATAACTACTCTTACGCATGCACCTGTGTGTGTGATTCAATTCACGTTTTCGTTTCTCAACGTTTGGCCTACTGTTTACTTTCTTAGTAACACGCTTTTTATTAATGTTTAAGATAATAATAACATGACGCGAATTATGATTCCAATTTTCCTTTTACACTTTTAACGGGCTTTTTTTTGCTTATCAACGACGTAACCGACGACTCTCCTTATTATGGCGTATTTAAAAAATTGGAATAAACTATTTACAATTAAATTACGCAACTAGTCCCAATATCTAATATTGGTACCTCAAAATGGAATTCGTTTCTCTTCTCTGAATAACAAACACACCACACATTAAATAATGTACGTTCACTACGTAAATTCAAAGTACCGGATAGGAGCGCGAGCGGCCTGACGGCGTCGGGCGATTGTATCGACTGGTAAGGCGAGATAAAGCGAACTGGTTGCCCCCGCGCAGCCGAGGGCTTTCGAACAGTCACGGGTCCACGGGCCACATTCTTTATGCATAGACGAGCACGTAAAATATTTTTGCACTTATTACTTGTTGTTGAGCACTTTTAACTTCTGTGAATGCAGCAATAATTTTATTGCAGCGATCTTTCTAACTTTGGGCCGCTTAGATGTAAACACTGCTCTTTATACACACATAAAACACTAAAGGTGAAAGTGACGGCGAGTTTGTAGACCATAGTATAGGGTCTCCGTGCGCAATCCACCTATCTTTAGATTCATTATTTAAGTTATCGCTCACTGCACTTGAATAGTTTGATTATCTGTCAATTTTTCTTCGATTGGTAAGTTAATTACGATACGTACGTTAATTTGGTTTCCGCGGTAAAGACTCACTTTAGTATATTTGCACACCACGTAAACTTTCATTGCTTAAAATGTAATATCGCACCATTTCTTAGCATCCGCGGTTCGAATATTTTCGTTACGTCATTGATAACGTAGCGTACGTAATGAGCTCACCGTCAACACTGTCAGCTGTCGGCCGGGCGAGCGGTCGTATGTAATTAACGGTAAATATAAGCGGAAGCCGCGGAAAGATGCGCGACAATATACCTTACCGAACGACCCTTAGGAATGTGTGCGTGCGCAAAATAGTACGCATCAGATATTTATGAATGACAATCAGTTAAAATTATATACTACCACGCATTTTGAGTTTAAAAGATAAAAATGACAGAATGTTCGAGTTTTTTTAATTAATTTTTCTTCACCATTTGCCTATATTTCTTATTCTGAACCTTCTCTGCAAATTTGGTCGGTAATTGCAAAATAACCCTGTATATACCGTACAGTATTATTATAATATGTATATAATATAATAAATAAAATAGACAAAAATGACAAAATCGATGCTTATATTAAAGACTAGCTGTTCCCCGCGACTTCGTCCGCGTAGAATTTATTACTGTTAGAGTTAGGTTTAGGTATCGGTTTTCATTTTTTTTTAAGCGGAACCCTAATTGTTTTTCTAAAATAAAAGTTAGCCAGTTACTCCTTATAAAATCAGCTATCTGCCAGTGAAAGTACCGTCAAAATTGGTCCAGCCATTACGAAGATTAGCCGGAACAGACAGAAACTAAAACTAAAAAATTGTGTTTTTTTTATTACTATATATATACTTGCATTTACATACTTGCAATGCATACTATGCATTTCATATGTATATAGTTAATAGCTGTTATTTTAAGATTACAAACAGACACTTCAATATTATTTATTTGTAAAGATTATTGCTATATTTTTAGAAAACAAAGAAGATAAAAAAGTCAAAAAAACTAAATTAAAGACCAAACGCAAATCGCCCCAAATCAAAGGAAGTTTATCACCACAAGATAGTGAAGACTCTGAAAATTTATTAGTAAAAGAAGTTAATAGTATTAAGGTAAACATAATTTCTCTAAGTTTTTTGTAAACCTGGTCTTCATTGCAAGATCATGAGCTTTAATTTCTTCAGGTACTAGAATGCAGTAATATGCCGGCTAATATTCTAAAGATCACCTACAAGTTGGTGAATACGGAGACCAAACTTCTGCATCGATTGTTGCAAGCGCACGGGCTACAGGAAGCGTCAGCAGATTCCAAGGATTTTACTTTGCTATGGGCTGGACTACATCCAAAGCCTGACGTTTTGAGATCACTGACGCCTTATCAGAGAGTTAATCATTTTCCTCGGTAAGCTTTACTTATTTATTATTTTACCCTCATATTTTATTAACTTACGTGCTAGTGCTATGCTGCAGCTATATTATGGTTGAAGCTGGAATTGGTCTGCTCGACTATGGAAGGACCACGCTCTCACAGAACACCAGCATAAAATAGCAGCTTAATAATGTTGTGTTTCTTATGGTGAGTGTTGAGAACTGGAGACCATTTTTACTGAATACGAGGCATTCTATCCTAGTCGTCAAGGGTGACAACGCTTCTGAATATTGATTCTTAATGTAGGGTAATTGAAGATGTCTATGGGCTACAGCATCCACTTATCATCAGGTTGACTGTGTGCACGTTTATCGCTCTTATTCTACAGAAAAAAACACTTTTGCTGTCCCAATTGCTACCCTCTATGTAATCTTCATGTTTCATTGTTTACGTATATTATTATATTTATTCTTAGATCGTACGAACTGACCCGCAAGGACAAGCTGTTCAAGAACATAGAGAAGATGCAGTACTTCCGTGGTATTAAGAACTTTGACTTCATACCCACCACGTTTCTAATGCCGACGGAATACAAGGACCTGTGTACGGCACACTACAGAACCAAGGGTCCGTGGATTGTGAAACCTGCGGCCTCCAGTCGGGGCCGAGGGATTTACATTGTTAACAACGTAAGTGAATATAGTGTTGACAAAATAAACACTTTATGGCGTTGCAAATTTGAAAAATATTTATTTACTAGCTGTGCCCGCGGCGTAGCTCGCGTGTATAGGTTTTACTTAAAGAATTTGACGTTTAGGGTAAGAGAACATTAAACGATTTATATCATTACTGTATGAATAAGTGGTTACAAAATAAATCGATATGCTCAAAGTTGTAAGTCGTTTGTGATAGAGCTTCTGTGTAAACGACGTTAGAAGTAGACTTAGCCGGGGCGTACAGAAAAAGGTGACGGGGACTACTAACTCGGGAAAAAGCTACATAGAGTTGCCCATGTGCAAAACAATCAGTACCGAGGTCCACTCCTGCAACGCGTAAAGTTTGACCTTGCGCTTTATTTACGATCATCGCGTCACACACGCATTCCATCTTAGTCCTCACGGGTGACAACGCATCTACATTTTGATTTGTAACAGAGGATAGATGTAGATGTCTATGGGCCGCAGCAACCGCTTACCATCAGGTGGACTGTGTGCTCGTTTGTCACCCTTATCCTATAAAAAAAAATAATTGTTACTTTTCCCTTGCTGTGTATACCCACATAATTTTGAAACAATGTGTAAGTATATACACATATACAAAAATCATCGAACATCGATGTTGAGCTATCGATGCCATCATCGATGTTTCTGCAACGTTGATCATCCCTATCTTAAAACTGAAAGGAAAGTTATTCGATGTTAGAGGAATTCTGGGTATAAAATAATATCACGACATTTTATTGCAATTTTGCTACTTTTAGTCGAGTTTTGTTGCATAACTTGGACGTACGTATCTTTTTTCTGGTTTTTGTTTCTGATGATGTTTGTGATGTTAGCCTACACGGCTCTTTCAGCTTCATCGGACTCATGGACATAAATTTCTTCAGTGAGTCTCAATACGATTCACCGGTGAAAAATCTTAACACCGCAATTCAGAAAAGCTTGTAATTTGTACAACACCATCTATTACGTTCTTTCTGAGAAAACATCCTTTTTTATATTTAAGGAAAACATATTTTTTTACTGTTTTTTTTTATTTTTTTTTTAAAACGTTACCTCCACACTAGGATTTTCTCCTGTATCGTGGAGGCAGTTTACAAACATATATTGCACAAGAACAAACATCCAGACCCGGAACAATTATTTGTAGACTTGTTCCGTGCGGGATTCGAACCCGCGGCTCCAAGCGTTGCAACTCATTGCTAAGCCACTAAGCTACGGAGCCGTCAAGTTTTAAGTATAAATATATTATAATAGAACGTTTTTTTGACACGAAACTTTGTATTACTATTTCTGATATTTTATGGCGCCATTAAACAAATTCGAACCTACATTTCAAAATAATAATCATAACTTTCGATAGAATTAACCAATTTTAATAAAACAAAGATTAAATGAATTCGATGATAAGCTTTATGATTTTCTTAAGGATTTCATTGAAAAACGGATGTTTACTCAAAACGTCATGCGTTCATAAACAACAGACAGACCGTCAGACAGTACAATTCTAAAAATTATAAAAATGTACTTATTTAATGATTTTCAGTCCCCATAATGATTTTAGTCACAAATTAATATACTATACAATGTACAGAAACAGTCACGACATGTTATCATTATTTTTATTATATGTGTAGATTTAAAGAGAGATGGCGCTGTTAACACCAATTCTAAAAATAAGAGATTAATTGACGCGATTGATACAATAAAAAACATAAAAGAACTTATAAATCAGTGCCTGCATAGTAAGTGAAAAAGAAAATTTGATCCTCGCCGAAAAACTAAATTGTTAATAGCTCTTTTAAAATTTCATTTACCACATAGAGTACTCGGCGGTAAAAAATGAATGAGATTGTCAACACGCGGTAGGGCAGCGTATAATATAAAGATTAGAAGCAAATATGAAACTCATTTACAGGAAAAACCTTAACCTGCTTTTTTGTATCACATTTGTGCAAAATCACCATCTATCGATGAAATGGGTTAACTATTATACTTTAAATTTAGATAATAGGGTTAATATATTTTTGTATATATTTATTACGTTCTTTATGTAATACTTTTGTTTACTGCGTTTTAGGTATAATTATATCATTATAGAAGATTATTTCACATCATTTAATTATGATTTATGATATGATATTAATTTAAAATGTACTTGATGACTCATCCAACGCCACTATTGAACAAATTCGTACCTATACTTAGTACCCATACTTCAGAATATTTGTCATAACTTTTGATGGAATGAACTGATTTTAATGAAATTAAGACTAAATGTAACCCGAAGATACACTTAATAATTTCCTTAACGATTCTTATGATATAAATTAGTACTTTATACGTGATACGTTAACAAACAAACGGACTGACAGACAGACAGGCAGAAAAATCTAAAAATGGTAGAAATGTATTTAATTATTTATTTTTAGTACCTCTCAATCACTTTTATTACTAAAATATAAAATGTACAGACATCTGCTATTTACATTTTTATTATATGTATAGATCAAGAGCAAAAATATTGTTGAGTATCAAGATATGTAGACTGTATATAGGTAATTTTATTGGTTTGATATCATAAATATAAGAGGTAGCCGTTATGCTTGCGTTCGCGATCAAGTGGTTCCGAGCAAGACGCGTGCGCAGTGGTGCTCCGTTGTGTCCACGATGGTGGTGGGGCTGCGAAGCGCTCGTAGAATCGGTTTGATGTTCGCTGGTTCGCTGCCCGGCGATACGAACCGGGGAGAACAATGGGCAGTGACGTCAGGAAAAGAGATATTATAAGTCTAAGATTAAATTAAGGTCAATGTAACGTAAATATTAAAATAAGAAACATTTAGCGAAAAAATATCTTATATGCCTCTCATTAGCCTTTTTTATCCAACGCTGGATGGAGGTCTTCTAAAGAATAATCTTGGAAGATTAGTTGTAGTACTTAAAAGTTATAGTACTTAATATTGTCCATCACAGTTTGATGTGTCGTATCACATTCTATTATCCATCCATTACAGCCATCGATCACTAATAAAAAACTAGATACACAATCCCATGCAAAAATTCTCTAAAAACTATCGCCAATTGTTTTGATGTAATGCTAGTTGAAATAAATATACATTAATGTAAGTTCAACCTTAAATGCATTATGCCTAAAGTTGTATTCACAAAGCTAAACGGCGCTCATTCAGTAAGGATATTTTTTGTCACTGATTGTGTATCTAGTTTTTTTATTAGTGATCGATAATTACAGCCTATAAAAGTCTACTACTAAACATAGTTCTCCCCTTAGATTGCCTCATAGGGGTGATTTTGTGATAATTGATTTTTATAATTTTGAATTGTGATAATGCTTTTATGGAAGATGCTGCTGCTCATCTTCTGTTTCATTTTCCCTCTGTCACCTCTCACGATATCCACGGTAGACGATATGGGATAGTGAATCTTCTGCCACTATACGCTTAATCATGTCGCATTGGAAATAGATTTTTTTTATTTTTCTTTTAAATGAAAACTTATCATTACCACGGCCCATTATTACGTGACGTAATTTGAATTGCTTTAAAATTTATTGTCCCTATTTCAGCCGGAACAGATACCAAAGGGTGACAACGTGGTCGTGGCGAAGTACATAGACAAGCCGCTCTTGATAGATGGTCACAAATGCGATTTGCGGCTGTATGTGTGCGTGACCTCGGTCGACCCTTTGCTCATATACCTCTACGAGGAGGGTTTAGTCCGCTTCGCTACGGTCAAGTACGACAATACCAACAAGAACCTGTGGAACCCCTGCATGCACCTCTGTAACTACAGCATCAACAAGTACCACACAGACTACATCAAGTGAGTGAATTTGTTACGCAAATTTACATGTACTTATGTTATATGACGATTTAGCGTTATTCATAAAGAAATATATTTTTGAATAAACAAAGAAAAGGTTTTAGAGCAGTTACAATCTATCTTTTAATTTGCGATAATTTTCGATATTTGACTTCCTAGCATATTTTGTCAAAAAAGGTCTTAAAACGATCATAATTATACGATCTCAGTTTGATTCCGACCATTTTTATGCTGAAGCATCCGTGATACGTATACGTATACGCAAATCTGGGGCAATCAAAACATTTCTTACCGTCACAGTCGCGATTCTACTACCGGTCAGTGCAGTCGCTTTATAATGATGTGACGGCTCTAATGCCAAACCTACAATATTTTCGTAGCGTAAGCATACCTACTCCACGAAAATAGTTCGAAATGGCGTGTCAACCTAAACGCTCCGAAACCGTCTTATTATAACTATTATTAATAATAGAAAAATAATTTAAAAAAATACCGAAGTGGAGTGAAGTACCACAAGGATCAATTCTAAGACCGTTGTTGTTTAATATGTGAACAATTTATAATTTTTGTCTTAGACCAATAAAGAATGATAGACGAAGCGCTGTGTACATTTCAAGTGGCCATGCTCAATAATTTGACACTCACTTTCTGAACACAGTTTTCTTCTTTCTTTTTTTAAATGCCCCTAAAAATGTGTTATTGGTTGCAACTAATTTTAAATGCATATGTGTGCGTGAGTACGTGTTTTTACAATGAATAGAGCAATGACTTTTGTTTGGTTTCGGCATCACTTAAATACATGCATCGCCCCGTCTGAGATATCTGTATAAATTTTTTAAGTACATTTTTTTTTAAATTATGCGTTGTTTTTTATAAGAGTGACAAACGCGTACAATGTCCACCCGATGGTACGTGGATGCTGTGAGACATCGACACCTACTCATTCTCAATTAAGAATGAAAATATTTTGTCACATTTGATGACAAAGATGGAATGCCTCGTTTCTTTTAAACAAGGTTTCCGGTTACTCTACACTCACCATATATGTAAAACATGGAAGCATTAAGCTATACTGTTTCACGTTGGTATTATGTGAGAACGTGATCCTTTTTCGATCGTGTTGATCTATTGGTGCTACAATTATAATATAGCTGCATCGTGGTTTTTATACGTATAATCTTTCTCTTACATAATTTTATCTTATCGCTAATAGCGTATTTGTCTGAACACACCCACTACTAAATATTCAAATTAAACGTTATAATATACCTATATACAAAGTCCGCAGATTTTATCTTAGCCGGGTTAGTCACGAGTGGTTGCCGCAGTTCTTAGGGGTGACAACGCATCTGCATTTAGATTTAATCGAGGATAGATGTGTCTATGGGCTACATCACTCACTTACCATTTGGACTGTGTTTTTTTTTTATAGGAGAGAGGGCAAACGAGCATGCGGCTCACCTGATGATAAGTGACTATCGCCGCCCATGAACAACCGCAACACCAGGGGAATCGCAGATGCGTTGCCGGCCTTTTAAAAAGGAGTAGGCTCTATTCTTGAAGGTCCCTAAGTCGTATCGGTCCGGAAAAATCGCTGGTGGTAATCGATTCCACAAGGAAGTTGCGCGAGGAAGAAAACATCTTCTAAATCGCACAGTGGTGGACCGCCAATCATCCAGGTGGTATGGATGGTATCGCAAGTTTTGTCGCGATGTGCGATGGTGAAATTGAGCGGCTGGAATTAGTCCGAACAATTCCTCAGAGCACTCCCCGTGGTAAATGCGATAAAATACGCAAAGAGATGCAACATCTCTACGTAGTGCCAGTGTATCGAGCCGATCAGAAAGAACTCTGTCGTCGACGATTCGAACCGCTCTGCGCTGGATGCGGTCAAGTGGAAGGAGCTGGCACTGGGGTGCTCCGGCCCAGAGATGAGAACAGTATTCCATGTGACGCCGGATTTGCGCTTTGTAAAGTTGCAAGCGATGTGCTGGCATGAAATACTGTCTTGCTCTGCTGAGCACGCCAAGCTTTTTAGAGCCCAGTTTGGCCTTCCCTTCCAAGTGATCACGAAACTGCACACTATTCGATATGTCGACGCCAAGGATTCCGATGCTAGCTGAGGCAGCAAGGGGAGTGCCTTGAAACTGAGAAGATACGACAAAGGGGTTCTTTTTAGCGGTAAACGCGCAAACTTGTATGCTTGTTTGTCACCCTTACTCTATAAAACAAAATTATAAATGGGGATTGTAATAATATATTTAAATAATATAGTTGCATCGTGGCTCTACCACATATACATAGGTATAAAAATGTAATATATCGTTAAGTATATATTGTTTATTTGGGTGTTTAGTTGTGGGTTTGTAACGAGGAAACCCATTTCTTGGGGAGAATGGGTCTGGACAGTTGTGTTGCCCATACGGACTGGTTGCAACGCGGCCGTTTCTTAGTGTCAGGTCCCTGGTTATGGAGGTTAGCGGTATCCAAAGCACGATTGCACCGCTGGCCTACCAAGACTGATGGGGGCCCAATTAATGAGGTAGCCACTCACGAAAGGCTGCTCCGCCATTTTACGAAAAATTATGGGATGGCTCCACCATGCCGGTTGGCGACCGGAGGAGAGGGCCTGGTGGCAATATCCAGGGGGTTCGGGCGTCCCTGCCTTCTCCATGCTAGGTACCATCGATGCTGTGACTCTGTTTGCGTCCCTAGGTTATGTGTGATGCTTCGTCCAACTGCCATTCTCTCAACCTATTCACTCCTACCATTTATGAAAAAAGCGAAAAGAAGAGTAAGTTTGTACAGCGATTGCACTTCCTCTCCATCAAAGTGCGCCTGATAAACATCCGAGGCCCGCACTGTATGTAATCTCAATTCAGTGCACTACCACCTCGAGACTGACAAGCCGCACTTACTCTTCTTGACTGAGACGGAGATCAGATGTCCTCTAGATGCGGCGTACCTCGGTTACCCTGTGTACACATTGGAGCATAATTTGCATCAGCGCGCCGGAGTCTGTGTTTACGTCTGCAACGACATCTGCTGTAAGCGTCTCCGTCACCTTGAAGACCCAACTTTTTCTACGATCTGGGTATTGACAGACACAGAAATGGATAAAATTATTTACTCTTGTGTCTACCGATCGCACAGCGGTGACCAGGAAACAACTAGGCTGTTTGAACACCTCAGTGAAGCCTTTGATGTGGCTCTAAATCGGTACCTTAATGCACAGTTGCTTTTCCTGGGGGACGTTAATTCTTGTCATCAGGACTGGCTGTACCCATACCAGAAGACCGACCACGCTGGGAGAGAGTCGAGGAATTTTGCCTTGTCGCTAGGGCTCTCCCAGCTGGTACAAAATGCGACTAGGGTACCTGATGTGGTTCGGCACACAGCCAACTGCCTTGACCTTCTGCTGACGACCGATCCAGACAGGTACGATGTTCAGGTTACCTCACCCTTGGGAACTTCTGTCCACTGTCTGGTGAAATCTGTGTCGTTATATTCCCCACCTAACTACGATTTCCACGGTGTACGGCGATGGTGGCGATACAAGTCAACAGATTGAGATGAGATGCGGCATTTCTTTACATCTTATCCTCGGCGGTAGGTTTGCTTCTCCTCTGAAGACCCGTCGAGCTGCGCGGATGCCATAACTGATGTGATATGTGACCGTCAAGCGAGGGAGTATTTCATCGCCTTTGTTGACGTGTCCCATTGGTGGTAAAGCTCGGCCATGGTTCAACGCCTAGTGCGTTCGTGCTGAAAAGCAAAAGCATATGGTGCACTTATCCTGGGTCGATGCTCGAGACCGCAAAGCTCCGGATGTTAGCCTTAAGAAGAGAGCCTTCAACCAAGCCGCCAAGTTCTGCAAAAAGGCATTACGACAAGCTACTTTCGACTGCATTAAACGCATCGGTACAAAGCTCTCTGGCAAACCATCTGGCAGTAGAGCTGTTTGGTCTCTCGCCAAAGCGGTCGAGACAAACTTCTGTCTGTCTACACTGCCTCCGCTGGTAAATCCAGATGGTTCACTGGCGCATGCGCCTAAGGAGAAAGCGGTCTTATTTGCTTCACTTTTAGCTTGCAATTCGCGTCTGGACAGTAGCAACAGCGTACCATCTCAATTACGTCACTGCGGTACCTCTATGTTAGAGGTCCGTATCACCAACAAGGAGGTTCTTAAAACCTTCCGAAGTCTAGACGTGAACAAAGCTAGTGGACCTGATGGCATATCAGCCATAGTTCTAAAGGTCTGTGCACCTGAGTTGTCTCCTGTGTTGACACGCTTGTTCCGCCTCTCATTCAGGACTGGAATAGTGCCCAAATCTTACAAACTGGCCAATGTGCAGCCTGTGCTTAAGAAAGGTAGCCGTACCGACCCTGCCAACTATCAGCCAATTTCAATTACCTCCATACTCTGCAAGATAATGGAGTGTATGTTGAAAGCCCACCTCATGGCATACCTAGAGCCAAATGATCTCCTCAGTGATAGCCAGTACGGGTTTCGCCGAAATCAATCAACTGTGGACCTTCTAGCGTATGCTACTCGCATACGGGGCGAAGCCCTCGAGAACAGTTTTAAATTAAAAAAAAAAAACAGAGGCAGTTTACAAACATAAATTGCACAAGGAAAAACATCCAGACCCGGAACAATTATTTGTAGGCCATACAAATACTTACAATTACAAATACTTACATTACAAATACTTAGTGGTGAAGCACTTACTGATTCCCTCGATGTTTCGAAGGCCTTTGACAGGGTTTGGCGCGCTAGTTTATTGGGCAAGCTTTCTGCGTACGGTTTATCCGCTGGCCTGACTTTCTGAGTGAACGGTCTATCCGGGTCGTCGTCGATGGCTACTCATCCGATACTGTGGCGACTAACGCCGGTGTTCCTCAGGGATCCGTTCTCTCTGTAACTCTCTTCCTGCTGCATATAAATGATCTGCTCATTCCCGATATCTTTGGGTATGCAGACGACAGCACAGTTGTGGAGAGATACCAACCAAGTGCCCTTGGCCAGTCGGGATCAAATCCATTCAGAAAGAGCGGTCATGGTTGAGCGTGTGAGTCTAACATTACAGGCAGTATCCGAATGGGGCGATGCCAATCTCGTGAGATTTAACGCCTCCAAAACAAAAGCGTGTCTTTTCACCGCTAAAAGGAGCCCGCTTACCTTGGTTCCTACTTTCCGGAATCCTTGGAGTACACTGAACGCCTTCAGTTGTTAGGGGTTTAATTTTCTCTGAACCTTAATTATGGGTGGTTCATTGAGTCCAGAGCCGAAGCAGCCGCAAGGAAACTTGGTTACCTTGCAAGGTTGCGGTAATCTTTCACGCCGGGGCAGCTTCTTACCTTATATAAAGCGCAAGTCCGGTCGTGCATGGAGTACTGCTATTACATATGGGTTGGTGTTGCAAAATGCCACCTGACAGCGTTAGACTCAGTGGAGAGACGTGCTAAGAGGCTCATTGGTTACCTTGATTTGGTTGAAACCGATCTTATCAGCCTTGAGCACAGACGCAGAGTAGCCAGTCTCTCGTTATTCTATAGGATGTATTTTGGTGAGTGTGCCCAGGAATTACACGCTTTAATTCCTCCCTCTCCTTTCCACCGTCGGACAACCAGGCGGTCGGCGGGTCTTCACCCCTTTGTTGTCGATTTTCCACGCATTAGAACCAAACGGTTTGCTTCGCCTTTTGTAATGCGTATAGCAAAGGAGTGGAATAATTTGACGGCGTCTATCTTTCCGTCCGAATACAATCTAGGCGTCTTCAAGACAAGAGGGAATAGTCTTTTGTTGCGCTAAGACAGTGCGATTTACCAGCGAAGGCGGCATCTCCACTTACCATCAGGTGGGATTGTGGTCTAGCCCTGGCTTATAATAAGTAAAAAAAAGGTGCTATTAGTGATAAGGTAAAGTTGTGCGTGAGATGATGACGATGACGACGGCGGGGTGTATGGGGCAGGTGCTCGGACCCGGTGGCGGGCGACGTGGGGCACAAGTGGACGCTGTCGGCGCTGCTGCGGCGGCTGCGGGCGCAAGGCCGCGACACGCGCGCGCTCATGGCGCGCGTGGAGGAGCTGGTGGTGAAGTCGGCGCTCAGCTCCGCGCACACCATGGCGCAGGCCGCGCGCGCCTTCGTGCCGCACGCCTTCAACTGCTTCGGTCCACCACATCACTTATTTACCCACACTGCACTGCACTGCGGTGCTCTGAGCCTTTAATACATTGCACGCTAAATTACTCCATAAATTATTTAGGCGGGAAGACTAGTTCTTTGTTTTGTAAACCGCGAACGTTGTTTTCGACAATCCTTGTTTAATGTGACTAAGAAAACGCCGTGTCGCATTCTACCGTAAAATGAATCTCAACAGAGACGAATAGCAAGGGCCTATCATAAATATGAATTTTTCACAAAGCCGTGCACCAGATGGTTAGCGCTCTCTGTATGTTTCACAGTACGTGAGCAAAAGTAATGAGAGAAAATGATGTAGAAATTATGTTATTTCTTTATCTTCACACTTTTGTTGTCGATATTCCACGCATTAGAACCAAACGGTTTGCTTCGTCTTTTGTAATGCGTACAGCAAGGAGTGGTATAAATTTGCCGGAATCTGTCTTTCGGTCTCAACACAATCCGGGCGTCTTCAAGGCAAAAGTGAATAGGCTTTTGTTACGCTAAGACAGTGCTATTTACCATCTAGGTGAGACCAGGTGAGATTATGGTCAAGCACTGGCTTATAAAAAGTAAAAAAAGTTCTTAGAAATCGGTTTTTTCTTTACGTAAAGATTTTTAAAAGCTTTTAAAAAGTTACTTCGCAAACATCCGCTCTATAAAATAAAATCATGTGTCTTACCTGGTATGAAGAGCACCTCCCGCTCTCCCTCAATTGCGTGCACTATCCCCGTCACCACTAATCTCAGCACCACTACATTAGGAAAGACACACCACTGACGACAATACGACACGCGTTTCGCCTCTACACGAGGGAGGCATCCTCAGGTGATGTAGACTCTACGGTGGCTGACCGTTAAGTGAGCGGTGAGCCAAAACAACTGCCTTTTACACAGACCGCTGACGCAACCGCTCCCTACTTAAAGAGCGAGCGATCGCGTCATGCGATAAAACATGCGACCAATCACCGCCGGACTTACGCAGCCGTTTGAAAAATTAAAAACAAACCGCCGCGCAACGCCCGCCTACCCTCCAACCACGCAACCCAATCGCCGATCACCGTGAGGGTGACAAACGATCATATTGCGAGACTGTCTGCCATTAGAGAGCAGGCTTAAATATATTTAAGTGAGGTGAGTTAGAAACATTTATTTGTTCATTCAGCAGTGCAACGTTACTATTAGTACTTTTTAATATTTCTAACTGTTCCAGCAGCTCTTTATTACACGTATGTAAGACTTTAAAGGAGTGGTCGTTAGCTAGGTTGTGTCCAGTGTTCAAAAGATGTTTAGCAAAATGGGATTTATCGGGATTGCAATTCCTGTACGCGGCTAAATGCTCTTTATAACGTGTTTCGAAGTTGCGACCAGTCTGATCCACGTAAACGGCGTGGCATTCGTCACAAACAAGTTTGTAAACACCCGACTTTTGACGAATATCCAACTTATCTTTATTATTACAGATATTTCTAAGAGAATTGTTTGTTTTGAACGCCACATAAACGCTGTTTTGTCGAAGAGTATTAGCTACTTTTTCAGATATGGGACCTAAGTAGGTCAAACTGTTCACATATTGACGAACACTTTGAGTTTGAACCGCGTACAGAGAGTTGCGAACAACATGCTTTTGTTTCTTTTTAATTAAATTGTTAATGAAATTTTTTGAAAAACCATTAGAGACCGCTATTTGATAAATTATATTAAGCTCTTTTAAATAATTTTCTTTACTTAATGGGACAGTGAACAAACGATTAATGTAACAATAAAAAGCGGCTAATTTATGTTGCCACGGATGACACGATGACGCGGGGATGACCGTGTCGGTTTGAGTTGGCTTTCGATAAATTTGGAAAACATGTAAGGATTCTTTTCTAGTTATTGATAAGTCTAGGAAATTAAGGGAACAATCTTGTTCCAATTCAAGTTTAAATTTAATTTTGTCGTGGACTCTTATTTATTTTATTGAGGAAAACATCCTGTTGTCTCCTTATGCCAGTCCAGCAAATAATTATGTCGTCTACATATCGATAGTAATATAAGATATTTTGATTGACAACTATATGTTGTTTATCGAAATTATCCATGAAAATGTCCGTCATAAGGGGACTTAGAGGGGACCCCATAGCTAACCCTTCTTTTTGTAGATAGAAACGGTTATTAAACCGGAAATAGTTTTGTTTCATACAGAGAGAGGTTAAGTTAAGAAGATCATTTGTTTCCCCGGGATGTAGACGACGTTTATCAAAGAGATCTACGATTATACGCAAACAGTCAGGGGATGGGACATTTGTGAAAAGACTATCAACGTCTAAAGATAACAATATGGATTTAGGAGGTGCATGCACCTAGTTGCCCAGACTAAGGTCGAACATACAGGGGCCCATACAGCTGTTAGATTCGACGGACAACTAAGTGTGGGGCTCAAATGCCTATGGATATTTAATATATATGGACTAGGTACTTAATAATACTTACCTGGTTCAGAAGCGGAGACTGGTCCCAAGGCTCGGTCAGGCGATAGGTGTAGTGCATGTAAGTGGTGTTTGTGAGTGTGTAAAAATGTGGGGCCTGACTTAACCCCTTTAGTCGGCAGCAACCCTGACTCCGACACCGCCCCACGGTGTGGTATTCCCCAGCGGCGGCACCAATGGACAATTTCTTTCTTCAATTCACTATGTATATTATTGTACATTTAACTAACTTCAAACCGCAACTAAATCCCGTTAATAATAATCAAAACGTAACACACGCCACGAATAACGAACGGGCCGGCGGATCAAAGGTCACTTCCGTTTCACGTGGTAACAAGATTACAATCACGAACAAAAACGCGATGCCTTCTCTAGTCACAACTTTCAGAGTTTATAAAGAGCATTTAGCCGCGTACAAGAATTGCAATCCCGATAAATCCCATTTTGCTAAACATCTTTTGAACACTGGACACAACCTAGCCAACGACCACTCCTTTAAAGTCTTACATACGTGTAATAAAAGGCTGCGACTGTGTGTGCTGGAACAGTTCAAGATATTAAAAATTACTAATAGTAACGTTGCACTGCTGAATGAACAAACAAATGTTTCTAACTCACCTCTCTTAAATATCTTTAAGCCTGCTCTCTAATGGCAGACAGCCTCGCAATATGATCGTTTGTCACCCTCACGGTGATCGGCGATTGGGTTGCGTGGTTGGAGGGTAGGCGGGCATTGCGCGGCGGTTTGTTTTTAATTTTACAAACGTCTGCGTAAGTCCGGCGGTGATTGGTCGCATGTTTTATCGCATGACGCGATCGCTCGCTCTTTAAGTAGGGAACGGTTGCGTCAGCGGTCTGTATAAAAGGCAGTTGTTTTGGCTCACCGCTCACTTAACGGTCAGCCACCGTATAGTCTACATCACCTGAGGATACCTCCTTCGTGTAGAGGCGAAACACGTGTCGTATTGTCGTCTGTGGTGTGTCTTTCCTAGTGTAGTGGTGTTGGGAGTAGGTGCTGGGATTAGTGGTGACGGGGATAGTGCACGCAATTGAGGGAGAGCGGGAGGTGCTCTTCATACTAGGTAAGCCACATCATTTTATTTTATAGAGCGGATGTTTGCGAAGTAACTTTTTAAAAGCGCTTTATATAATGGATTTCCGCAAAGTAACGCCTGATTCTATTAATTAGTAAAGATTTTTTTTTAATTCTTGTGTGGACTAAGAAACATCACTAACTCAATGTAACTAGAATGCCGTCTAAACAGTTTCATACAACTTCATCACATCACCCTTAGTGGTGACATTTTTTATTAATATTATAATAAGGCTACCCTTGAATTATAACCTATTTAATAAAAAAGAATCATATAAGTCGATTTCACAGATTTTGCATAACAAAAAAAAACTTACAAAAAGTAAAAGGTGCTAAAATAGTGTATAGAACAATCTTTGACTACAAAAGTTTTTTTTTACCATTTTGAGTGAACTTAAGATATATCACAACCTCAATAATGTCTAAATAGTTACATTACAAAATTTCATCATCCATTTTTTCTCTAAATTTATATGGGACCAACCCTGAAATATAACTAATATTTAAAAAAACTGAAGGTAGCCGAGCTAACCATGACATCGGAACGCAAACACCTCAGTCCGATAACGAAGGTCAGGAATTAAAAAGTTAAATTAAACGCGATAAAATCCGTAAAAATAGTAGTTTTATTTTATATTTAAAAAAAATCATCGACATCGGTAACAATTGGTGAAGATATCGGGTAACATAGATACAAAAAAGGGCATATCGTGTTGTAAACCTCCTCTTATTTTGAAGTCTACTAGAAATTACATCTTTTAATTTTATCAAGTATTAGTTTATAAACATAATATTTCATTAAGAATTCATCATTAAATTTAATAAATTACATTACAGAACTCTTCGGCTACGACATCCTTATAGACGACAACTTGAAACCGTGGCTTCTGGAAATCAATCTATCTCCCAGGTATATATAAACATTTTGTTAAATTTTAATAATTCAAATAGTTTCATTAAATGTTTTTTTTTATAAGTAAAGATTGACAAACGAGCACACAGTCCACCTGATGGTAAGTGGTTGCAGCGGCCCATAGACATCTACATCTATCCTATTACAAATCAAAATGCAGATGCGTAGTTACCCGTGAGGACTAAGATGGAATGCCAGTAAAAAGGGTATGCCGGTTCTCTTCACTCACCATACGAAACACAGCAGCGTTAAACTGCTATTTTACGCTGGTATTCTGTGAGAGCGTGGTCCTTCCCCGGTCGAGCCGACCCATTCGTGCTACAACTATACTATTAATATAGCTGCAGCATGGCTCTACCACGTAAAAAACGTGCTACATATTTTTAGTTTTTTTTTTATAGGATAAAGGTGACAAACGAGTACACTGTCCACCTGATAGTAAGTGGTTGCTGCGGACCTTAGACATCTACATCTATCCTCGATTACGAATCAAAATGCAGATGCGTTGTCATCGTGAGGACTAAGATGGAATGCCTCGTTTCCAGTTAAAAGGTTCTTCGGTTCCCTACACTTACTATACGAAACACAGCTGCTATTTTATGCTAGTGTTCTGTGAGAGCATGGTCCTTCTCCTCTCGAGCCGACCCATTCGTGCTACAACTATACTACTAATATACTAATTATTTAAAAGACCGTTTCCAGTATTTTTCCCTTACCCATAATCGGTTCCTTCGATCCTCTGTCAATCTTTCTCTCTACTCCTTCGCACTCTTTCTCCTTTTTTAAGAAATCCTTTACTGTAACTGCTGTTCGTTTGTGGAACTCTTTACCTCTCCACATTCGTCGTGCTCAATCTCTTCATTCTTTCAAAAGTCTTGTTAAATCGTATTACTTAGAACGCTATTAGATAAATTACTTTTCCTTTTTCATACTCTTTTCATATTATACATATATTTCATATTATACTATTATACGATATCATACATAATCATCACTTACCTTTAGTTATGTATTTTCATATTTTTATTTATTTATTTATTTAGAAAACCAACAGCGTATATAGAAAATATTAACATTAATGTAACAAACTTAAAGTATGGCCAATAACAGGTTTCCCTTATATTGTTTGATGGTAGGTGTATTGTTGTTAGAAGAAAAGAAAAAAGAACAATCTAATAGATAAATTATAAGCAAAATTATAAGCAATTCAATGTAATGAAGGTGGTCATAAGTTTACAGATCAGGAGAGATAGTCAGGTAGAATGATATATTACGTTACCTTTATATATATATAAATATATATATATATATATATATATATATATAAACATATAAGATATATATATACATACATATATATTATTTACTTATGTATATATACATATTAAATGTTTAAATATATAAACGTAATACAAATAATTAATTATAATATATATTAAATAAAATAACTTAAGTACTTATATTTATATTAGTAGCCTCAAAAATACATATAGAAGAAATAGATGAGAGAATATATGATAGTATGTGATTTTAACTTCAACTGCTCTATTTCGTAATAGTTTTCTTGATGTAATCTTTAAACGTAAGTTTAGATTTCGCAAAGAGGTCAATGTGTCCAAATTGTTCATTATATGTACGAGCAAGCCGCGAAAGAACAGTGTTTCGACAGTAGTTTGAATGATATAGTTTTATTTTTATATTGTACGCCCCCCTCTATTTTTATCTATTGTTTGTATCAGTTCTCTACACTAAGGTTGTCTGGAAGAGATCACTTTCAGAGTGATAAGACCGCCTGTTGTACATATTCTACTTTAGATTTAACTGTACTCGTTTTTGTTTTATTTTTTGGTGTATTATAAAGAGTAAATAATGATAATAATAGCTACAGTATGGCTCTACCATGTAAATTGATTCTGCAATCAATCTATCATTTAATTTATCATTAGTTATATTACACATTGACCCCCTACATAGTTTTAGTCCTTCGAGCCGGATTTGAACCAGGATCCTATGGATATCAATATTATATCAAATATCATTTAAGTATAGATAATCCAATAAAGCGTTTGAGTAAATTTGCAGTCAATCTATAAATGATGAAATTTTCCTCTAAAAGTCAACTTATTAAATCGTATGTTGATACCTTTAACGCTGATAAACATTACTATGTATGACGGTTGCTTCCAGCTTGGCGTGTGAAAGTCCGTTGGATGCTCGAGTGAAGTCTGCACTGCTGGCCGACACCCTGACCCTCGTGGGACTGCCCGCCGTACCTTCCACAGGGCAGGAATGTGCCTCAAACAATAACTCGCTCAAGATGAGGATCGGCGCTGTAAGTACCTTGATTTAGGACATCTTCAATCTCATTAAATTGTTGCACTCTTTAGTTCTGATATGTGAAAGTTGTTAAGATCATTTAAGTGAAATAAAGACATATTAAATTAAGGTATTTAGTGTGCTGCTACGAGTTCATATTCTCATTCATAGCCCGTAGTCTTTGTAAATCTAATTTGGTCAGTCAAATGAAGTTAAACGTTTATAAAATAAGGAATGTGCTGTATATATAACGCCCTGGTCGTGGTATACGTTATGGAATTTAGTAGGTACTAGTAGCCCGCCCCGGCTTTGCCCAGTTTGAACAATTATGTATATATACTCTCAATCACATTATTACGTAGCGATTTTACTTGAAGTCTAGTTCCTTTGCACAGATTAGGCGGATTCAGGTTTCGTAATAAAGTTATTGGAATAACGACTTTCATTTTTAGAGTATGAGGGGCAAGTCCTGAAGGGTTAAGGGAGTTAAGAAATTCCTGTGGGTAATGCACAGCGTCCTCTGTATCTAATACAGTATCAACGGATTTATATATTTTTTGATTACGTGGTACTCTTTCTAATATCTGAAAACTATTAATTATTTGATCAACAGAAAAATTTCTTGGCGAAACTATTGCCCTCTCGCATATCCATGTGTAATCTTTTTGAGAAATATTCTCAATTGCTGGTTAAACATTTAGAATATAATCATTAAGACTTGAGATAGACTAGAAAGATTTTTTACGTGGTAGAGCCATGCCGCAGCTATATTACTGGTATAGTTGTAGCACGAATGGGTCGGCTCGACCGGGGAAGAACCACGCTCTCACAGAATACCAGCGTAAAATAGTAGCTTAACGCTGTTGAATTTCGTTTGGTGAGTGTAGAAATTGGAGACCCTTTTTACTGGAAACGAGGCCTCGAGAGTGATACAGCATATTCTAGTTGACAAGGTATTAATGATTTAAATAAATATAAGAATGTTGAAGTTTGTTTAAATATAATATCTGACTTGATGACGAACCCATACATTCTAAACGCTTTATTAATAATGTTCTCTATATGTACATCGTAATGTAGTATACTATCAAGTGTGATTCCAAGATCTTTAATAGTGCTTTCTTTTCTTAAGGTTATTCCGCAAAGTGAATTAAAATAATTACTAACACTCCGCTTTTTTGTGAAAGTTATGGATTTGCATTTATTAAGTTTAAGTTTATTTTGACTGCAGTATTAAGAGAGTTAATTCAGGTCATTTTGAAGTTTAACATGATTGTCTGAAGTGTAGATAATCCTGTAAATCTTTGAATCGTCTGCATAGAGAAGAAACTTACAGTGATCAAAACATTTATTAATATCGTTAATGAATAATACGAATAGTAGAGGGCTAAAAATAGAACCCTGCGGTATACCTGAACTTATATTTACACATGATGATTCGAATCCCTTAATAACGATCCTTTGAGTTCTGTTAGATATGTAAAATTTAAATCATCTCCAAAGGTTTCCTCTTATACCATTAAAGCCTATCTTTTCAAGGAGAATTTTATAATCCACCCTGTTAAGAGCTTTGCGAAAATCAGTGTACACGCTGTCAATCTGTTTATTTGCATCTAGTACTTCAAAGAGATCCGTTGTATAAATAAGTAGATTAGTAATTGTAGAACGACGTTCAACGAATCCAAGTTGTTGCTGTAAAATGGAGCTATGGAGACATGGGTAAATAGCTTTATGTACTAATCTTTCGCAAAGCTTCGACAGGGTAGGCAAAATAGAAATAGGCCTATAATTTTCTACGTCTTTCTTGGTTCCTCCTTTATATACAGGGAAGATTCTGGCTGATTTCCCGATCTTGGGAAAGACTCCATCACATAAACATTTATTACATAAATAGCATATGGGTTCACCAATAGTATCAGCAGTCTGTCACAAGAAATAGGCATTAATGTTATCAACTCCAGCACCTTTATTAACATAAAGCGCTTTAATTGAGGTATGAACTTCGTCCTTTGAAAGATTATTTGATTTCGTATCATATCTTTTCATTTGTATCCAGGCTCGCTCTTTTTTCTTATATAAATTAATAAATGCGGGAGTAAACCAATGTGGAAAAAGTGACGATTTAATAACTTTTATGGGCACATGTTATTTTATTATGGCATATATCCTTTCATAGAAATTAGAAACTGCTTCTTCTACTTCTTTTTCCATGAAGAGAAGATCCCAATTAGTATTTGCTATTTCTTCATTGATTTTTGCATAGTCCGCGTGTTTTTAACAATATTTAAGATAGGTTTTACTTTTCAAGCGATTGAATTCCTCAACAAAAGATACAACTACCTGGAACGGAGGGTGATATACATCTGGTGGAATCAATAGAAATTGTACAGGAGAAGTTTTACTATTTACATTATTACTGATGCATAAGTCTAATATATTATTTGTTTTATTTTTAACGAATTCAATTGACAACATCCAAGTGATGATAAAAAGTTAATTAAGTATCTGTGCATGGGAGTTATATCAGAATTTATAATTGGTTGAATGATAATGCCTTTATTTTCCCACTGTAGACTAGGCATATTAAAGTCACCTATTATATAAATGTCAGTATCTAAACCGTGCACCGCGCTGTGTAAAACGTCTAAATAAGCGCGGTATGTGTCTTAGTTTTGTTTAGGTGGGATATACACCGCGCAAATAATCAGTTCACGTTTTCCTATGATGAGTTGGATCATCAAGTGGTTAGCAAGAGGCGGGAGGGGTCGGCGGCGCACAGCGCGAGCGCAGCAGCCGCCTCCGTCCCGCCGGCCGCTGCCCGCTGCCCGCTCGATCCCGATCCATCATAAACGCCTGATACCTAGAATCAATGTAATCGCTATCGGAAATGTCATTACGCAACCAAGTTTTTGTTAATATTATTATGTCGTACATAGGCTGCACTAAAAGTATCGGGAATGGAATATTTCCACTGTTCCTGTCATATTAAAATCTTTTTAATTGAAAAGTCCTTGGTTTTTTAAAATTGAATACCATTTATTTATTTAAAAAAAGATTCTCGATCTTGTCACAAGGTTTTGTCAAACTTGTTTAGTCGTTGAGAAAATGGAATTGACTCGAGAAAATTCAAGAGCGATGATTTATTATGACTTTCGAAATGGTTTAACACAAAAACAGTGTGTTGACCGGATGATTTCTGCATTTGGTGATGAGGGCCCATCCAAAACCACAGTTTATCGCTGGTTTGCTGAATATCAACGTGGACGTGTCAAGCTCAGTGATGATTCCCGTCAAGGTCGTTCAAAAACTGCAGTCACCCAAAAAAACGTTGATGCTGTGCGTAAGCTGATTGAGGAAGATCGACATGTGACATACCGCGAAATTCAGGCAACTTTAGACATTGACATGAGTCAAATACAAATAATCTTGAATGAACAATTAGGTGTAAAAAAGTTGTTTTCCCGATGGATACCGCATTCGCTCTGTGAAGAGCAAAAAGCGGCTCGCGTTACTTGGTGCGTCAGAACTCTCGAAAGATTCCACGCAGAATCCTCAAATGCTGTATACAATATCGTATCAGGTGACGAATCCTGGATATACGCGTACGAACCCGAAAAAAAAACCAGTCACGACTTTGGGTGTTCGAAAATGAGTTAACGCCAACAAAAATTGTTCGTTCACGGAGTGTTGCAAAAAAAATGGTGGCCACGTTTGTCTCCAAAACCGGCCATGTTACGACTATTTCTCTTGAGGGACAAAGAACGGTTAATGCAGAATGGTATGCTAGCATTTGTTTGCCATAGGTCGTTTCTGAACTCCGTAAAGAGGACTGCAACCGCCGCATCATCCTCCATCACGACAATGCGAGTTCTCACACCGCACACAGAACAAAAGAGTTTTTAGAGCAAGAAAACATAGAATTATTAGACCATCCGCCGTACAGCCCCGATCTAAGCTCTAATGATTTCTATACTTTCCATAAATTAAAGAATAAATTGCGTGGACAGAGATTTTCATCACCTGAAGCTGTGGACGCCTACAAAACGGCCATTTTGGAGACCCCAACTTAAGAATGGAATGGTTGCTTCATTGATTGGTTCCATCGTATGGAAAAATGTGTCAAATTTCGCGGAGAATACTTCGAAAAGAAATAAATACATTTTTAAATATTAATGTTGTGTCACTTCCTTGATTCCCGAAATTTTCAGTGCCGCCCTCGTAGTTACTGGAGATCACATTTGTGTAAAGAATGTGTAGTTTTGTTTCAAGTCCTCTACATTTTTGGTAATACTGATAATAATTAAATAACTGTTAGCCATTTTGAATGAATAATTCCTATAAAATTTGGGAGATATAATTTGTGTAATATACTTACCATTATTGAGACCATTGCTAAGTAATTTTTACTAAAGTACATAAGTGCACTATTTTATGATGCTTATGAACTAAAAAAATATGTGTGCTCTGTCTCTGTTGTGTCCTCTCAGTGGTGACAGTATTTTTGTCATGTGTTGAGCCTTATAAGTTTGTTAATCGATCTGTCTTACTATGGGACGTAGTGTAGTGTTTGGTTTGTGTATTTTTCTAAGAAAGTCAAAATTAAACTCGATATTAATTTTAATATTAGTCTCATTTAATGTATAGTGTTCGCGTAAATATAAGAAACCATTAAAAGTTTTTTTTTTATATAGGATAAGGGTGACAAGCGAGCATACAGTTCAACTCATGGTAAGTGGCTACTGTAGCCCATAGATATCTATATCTATCCTCGTTTGCCAATCAAACTGCAGATGCGTTGTCAGCTGTGAGGACTAAGATGGAATGCCACTTTTCCAGTAAAAAGGGTCTCCGGCTCTCTACATTCACCATATGAAACACAGCAGCATTAATCTGTAATTTTACGCTGGTATTCAAAGTCCAAAAATTTCTATGTTATTACATTTTACGGTTCATTGTTTAGCGGACTTACCGCGTAACATATAACATCTCCGAGTCACTATCACTTTCGACTCAAAACTCAAATTATGAAACTTTTTTATCATATCCTATTTTTTACACACCCGGGAAAATGACCTTTTCTATCACACACAAAACATATGACTCCACGTGGCAGGCACCGGGTGCCGCAAGGCGGCACAAGTTTGTAGGGAAGAACTTGTGTGTGTCCACGCAACGGGCCGGGGAGCGCTCACGTGCACGCAGTTCACGGCGACCCACGCCCGCTAGGTCCGATACATACACTTTTTTACTTAGAAATTTCTGCCGCTTTATTACAAGGTAGAGCCACGCTGCAGCTGGGTCGGCTCGACCGGGGTAGGACCACGCTCTCACAGAATTCCAACGTAAAATAATAGCTTAATAATGCTGTGTTTGGTATGGTGAGTGTAGAGAACCGGAGACCCTTTTTACTGGAAAAGACGCATTTCATCTTAGACCCCAGGAATTTAACATAATCACCCTAATTCTATAAAAAAAAATTGTATTGCTTTCTATAAAACCAGATCTTCGGTACAAAGTAATCGATCTCTGACCGATTTTATCTCGCAGCAGGCTCTCGTGCAAATCATATGGCCTACTCAGTATTGACAAAGCGATCACTACTAGTCGATATTTTCTCCATCCTCTTGATTACACGTGGTGGTTTGGTACCAAAATAATTATCGAAATTCTTCAAAACGCAATTGATACCGTCTTCGCTTTCGCTCTTCGCGAAAGTAAAAGTCGTGAGTACCTCGTATCCTGCCAAGCCACTAAGATCAATCAACAAACTAGCCAGAATCCCTTTAGGCTCTTTGCTCACTCCAGACGCTTTTAGGTACACTTCGAATAACCGCCGCCATTGACGCCACGCTTCGATCCGCGCGGCTGGTCCGTCTTCTTGTGATAATTCTGCTGTAGGACGCGCGTGTTCCATGATAATTATTATAAACTACACACAAAACAGCTTTATACTACACTCAAAAACCGTATTTTGGTAGATTCGCGAATAAATTCGATTTTAAACGCCTACCGCTTTTTTGTTTAACCTCCACCTATACATTATACTACAGAATCTAGCAGCAGTCTGTTGTTGAGAGTGTCAAGCGCTTTTTTCCGACTGTTAAGGAATAAGGAGAAGCAGGATACGGGTTTCCGAGTGTATATATGATGTATTTCATTGGCAGGCTCGATAGCCAACATGTCTTAATGGAATTTAGCATATGGGGTGTCGTTAGATTCGTTAAGCAGTCGTTTTTTTTTCAATCACTGTTGTAAACATTGTGTGAAATTTCATAATTTACGTATTAGTTCGCATACTTTCCGAGGGACATCCTTTTTGAAACAAACTATAGTTACAATGCGATTTAATAGGAATGCCAATGACCTCGAATGACCTCGAATGACCGCGATCTATCAACTGTCACTTGAAAAGTACGGTTTGCAAAAAAAAAATATTTGCGTATTAATAACGTCATTTTCCGATTTATTTAAGTGTTTTAGTATTATCAAATCTATTGAACACATAATTATTTTTATAAATTAATTAAAAATGTTGATACTAGTCGGTGGAATATTGTACGTACATAAATCCATGTTCTATCGGGTTTTTCAACAAGAACTTTGTTTTCTAAAACAAAATAAAACAAAGAGTTTAGATGAAGATGATTCAAAGTTTTATTGTATTACGAAGAGAAAAGTTTGGCAATTATGAATGAAAAATGATATCTGGCAAATGTCCACCACGACCACGCTGACAGATATCCATTCTTTCATCAAAGTTTTTAATCACTTTTTGGCAAAATGGCGGGTCTATTTCGTTAATCACGTCACGGATTTTGAGTTTTAAGGCCGCGATCGATTCGATTGGCTCCGTTTAGACTCTGTCCTTAACATAGCCCCACAAAAAATAATCCAGTGGTGTTAAATCACACGTTCTGGCTGGCCATTTAACAGCTGAATTTCGTGAAATTATGCGATTGGGACATTTGGTTTGCAATAAATTGATCGTTTCGTTGGCTGTGTGACACGTGGCACCGTCCTGTTGAAACCACATGTTTGTGATATCGATGTCATCAATAATAGGCCAAAATTGAGATGTTAACATCTCGCGATAGCGTGATTCATTGACCGTTACCGCATTTCCAGCCTCATCTTCGAAAAAAAAACCGCCCAATAACGCCTCCAGACCACACAGCGCACCATACAGTGACACGTTGAGCATGCAAAGGCTTCTCAATAATCGCTTTAGGATTTTCAGAAGGCCAAATGCAGCAATTTTTCTTGTTGACGTACCCTGACAAGTGAAAATGGGCTTCGTCTGAAAAATGATTTTTTCAGAAAAATCAGCGGGCTGTTCCTGAATGAATTGAGCGAATCTACGGCGATGTGAATGGTCGGTCAGCTTCAATTCCTGCACCAGTTGAACCTTGTAAGGCTTCAAAGCCAAATCCTTACGCAAAATTCGCCATGTGGTGGTTTTGGATAACCCCAATTGTTGAGAACGTCGAGAAATTGACAAATTTGGATCTTCTTCAATACTGTGGCTCACGGCTGCGATGTTTTCGGTTGAACGACGCGGTCGAACACGCGTTGGTGTTGGCGCATTTTGTACCGAGCCTGTCGATTCAAATTTCGCGACCAAATTCTTAATAGCGGTCTCAGAAGGACGATTATGTTGTCCGAAAATATCACGAATTTTACGAAACGTAACTTTAACAGAACCACCATTTTCATAGTGGATTTTAATTATTTTAATGCGATTTTCGAGCGAAATTGAATTCATTGTAGCAATTGCCAAAGCATCTACTACGAATAGGTCAAAAAACTAAATGTCAAAACTGTCATGTTTTTGGTGTTGCCCCAATTGAAAACAAAATTCTTGTTGAAATACCCTTTATTTTTATAAGGGAAAGCAGCAGTGATGATAATGATGACAATGATGACTTCTCAGACAGTGATGTAAAGATGAGCGAAATTGAAATCCTAGATTCAGATTAATACTTTTTCGATCATGGATCTTTTGTAAATAAATATTATTTTAAAATATCTGTTTTTCTCACCCTACCTAACTGGTTTGAATTGACAGCTATGACGTCTCAATATGGTGCCAGGTCAGTCCTATTTTATTTGAATGGCATAGTAAAACATGAGACAATTTATAAACAAATTTTTTGTTTCTTTTTTATTAAATGGAAATAAATGTTGAATACTATAATTAAAAAAAAAACTAGTAACTTAATTATCATACAGTCCTACTCCCCGCGGTATCGTGCCAAGAACGCTGGCTGCGTTTCCCAGCTGAATGGCTATACTTAGCTTTTGAGCGAGAAAAGAACCAGCCCCCCTATCACCAGCAGCAACGACCAGCCGCGGATGGAGTTCCCTAGGAACTTCACCGCATGTGGATCCCACGACCCATGATCTCTACAGCATTTTTTGTAATATAGCTCATGTAAATGTTAGTAAAGGATGGTACATTGGTGTAGTGTCGACGCGTGCACTCCGCGGAGAATGTTACCGGGCGTGGTGGCGGGGGAGGGGCGGGTGGAGGTGGAGGGGGAGGGGGAACACTGTCGGGGGAGGAGCTGCGCATGGTGCGTGCCGTACGCGCTCAGTACGCGCGCCGCGGCGGCTACGTGCGCATCTTCCCTTCGCAGAACTCCTGGCAGAAATACGCGCAGTATCTCGGTCGGTACACACTAAAACATTTAAAATAACTAAAAAATAAATTACCTAACAAATATTTGTGAGTTCTTGATAATATTATGACTTTTTATTCTTATTATAAACCAGTGCTTGACCACAATCCCACCTGGTGGTAAACGGTAATGCAGCTCTAGATGGTAAAGCGCACTGTCTTAGCGTAACAAAAGCCAAAAGATCCCAGTTTGTTATCGGAGAGAAACACCTGTAAATTATTTCAATTAATTATGGAAATGAATAGAACAAAGGTAACTTTTAAGGTCTAAAGGGTTATGTTATATCCCCGAAACTCTTCACCGTTGCATTCAAAGATGTATTCAAGCTACTGGACCGGAAAAGATGAATAAATGGCGAATACGTCACTCATCTATTTGCCGACGATATTGTTCTCATAGCAGAATCACTAGTACTAAGCTTGAAGATGTTGACGAGTATGTTTACCTGGGACAAATAGTCCACCTAAGAAGTCCAACTTCGACCGAGAGGTCAATCGACGGATTCAACTCGGGAAAACAATATTGTACAACCAGTGCGCATTGCCAGTGATGACTTATGATTCTGAGACGTGATCTTTCACTGCGGGCAATATGAGAAAGCTCAAGGTCGCCTAAATAAATCCCGGGGTGTGTTTATAACTGTGTATTTCTTCGAGAAATGGAGCTCTATTTGATTGTATGGCTGACATAAATCAATTTTTGAAAAAATAAGCCAAACCGCTTAAACGAACTTGGAGATTTTCAATTCTCGGTAAAGGATAACGATCAATTAACAAGTTTCGGATTAATCGTTGCTTTATAATAAGTGCAAATTCTCAAGGAACTATTGGGTTTATTTACCAAAGGCGAGGCCCAATCGGATCTGTCGTCGAACTCGATGATGCCGTCGCAAAGCAAAGATGATGGAAGAGGAAGCGGAAAGAGTCGTGGAGGACCATGTCTCTTTCCGCTTCCTCTGCGTCGTCGCCGACGCCTGATGCCTGGCCCAAATGCCAGACTTGGGTTGTTCTGCCGCCCCGGCTCATACTGTACTGACCTTTAACGTTTGGAACCCACTGCCACTGTTTTCTCGACACACCTGTCTTTAATGTTCTGAATGTCTGTACTTGTTGCATACGTAATCACGGAATTTATACGTGTCATAATCATGGTCGGTCGCTTCGCCACTCCCTGCACGATTGCCTTGGCCCATCTTCGCCACCTGCGCTTCCACCGCACTCCCTCAAAAGCAATCGCTAGTGTTTTTCCCTCGCGGTCGCACGGGTTCCGCCCCCGCGATTGCATGTGTTTTGCCCCTGTGGTCGCACGGATTCTGCCCCCACAATAGCACGTGTTTTGCCCCCGCGGTCGCTTGTGTTCTGCCTCCGCGGTGGCACGGGTTCCGCCTCCGCGATCGCTTGTGTTTTGCCCCTACGGTCGCACGGATTCTGCCCCCACAATAGCACGTATTCTGCCCCCGCAATAGCAGCACGTGTTTTGCCCCCGCGGTCGCTTGTGTTCTGCCTCCGCGGTGGCACGGATTCCGCCCCTGCGATCGTACGTATTCCGCCCTCGCGGTCGCACGGGTTCCGTACCTGCGATTGCACGTGTTCTGCAATTCTCGGTGGCATGAGTTTAGATCCTGGTTTTTTGGGGCTGGCTAGGTTGGATAAAAGTTCATACGCCTCGTCCACCATGACCGCTGTTCACGTTTGTAACTTAATATTATTTTTTAAGTTATTTGCCACAAAAATATAATACATGAAATTCAAAAAAGGTTTTGACGGCAGCATGAGCCAACAGACATTCTATGACAATAGTATCTCAAGGCGCCTGAGTAGACACATTATCTTGAGATTCACATCATCATCGGAGTACTTGTTACACCGTTTCCACTAACAGTTCACATACGATTTATTAACATTTAATACACAAAATCGTACAACTTACGTATCAAATTCTACTTCAAACCACTACAAGAGCAGCAATCCGTCGCCGGTCAAGTTCCCACTAAAAACTAAATTTTGTTTTGATAGTAGTAATATTTTGGATGCGCACAGACCCTGTAACCGGCATCCCAGTGTGCTCGACGTCAGTGAACAGCGGTGCGCCGTACGCAGCCCTACAGCACAACTACAACCTGCTCGTGCACGCGCACGTGCTGCCGCGCGCACGCCACGCCGACACGCAGCCGGACCCCGACGTGCCGCAGAGGTACGTGCACACACACACACATACATGCATACACACACACACGTACGCAGCCCTACAGCACAACTACAACTTGCTACATTAGAAACTTCAATGTTGATGATATTATGTAACCATCTGCATAACATTTTACATTTATTTGCTGATAGCTTTAGGCTACTATGTAATAAAGCTCTTATATTTTTGACACCAAATTTGACATATTGTAATATATTAATTTAATCTTAGGTTAGTTATTTGACAATGAAATTTTGCAAAAAAATAAAAATAAATAAACAAATTACTTCACTTAATTTCCAAGTAGCGAAATCTAGTGAGCGTAAGATTATTTGTCTTTATTGGTGTGATGGTGTACCTGTGGTATGAGATGTGGTAGAAATGGTACCGAGTGGGCTTAATATAGTACGTGATGGCAGGCTGCAGCGGTACGAGGCGGTGCTGGTGGCGGGCGCGGCGCCGGCCGTGCAGCTGGGCGCGCCGCCCGCCCAGCCCGCCCCGCCCGCCCCTCGTGACGCGCGCCGCGCCAAGGACCTTGTCAAGCACCAGCTGGCCAGCGGACTGCGCCTCACGTACGTACGCACGCACACACGCACGCGTGCGCGCGCACACACACACATACATACACACGCACTCACGCACGCACATACACACACACACACACACACACACACTAATACGCACGTGTCAAAAATCACTATTTATATACAATTACTATTCATAAAATATAATACGTTCGCACCTATGGGGGGCGAGGAAGTGTCGCTTACGGTGACAAGATAGGAGATTTGCAAATTATCCTGTCGGTTTTTTTTATTTTATTGTTACGATAGAAAGTCATTTGTTTCATATTGTTACGAGCTTGGGATTTGATACAATTAAAAACTGCCGATTGAATTACCAAAATTGACACTTTATTACAGAACACTAATTACAACTTAAAACCACACTAATAATAAAACACAATTGTATTACTGATCCGTTTAGCTCGCAGTTACATCGCTTTGAAGTATTCGCTTATATCGCCAATTCAATACTGACTCGGTCGCGGTCTATACTGACCTTATATAGGGCCTCAGATATTTTCCAGAACCTTCTACTATAGAAACATCTAGAATGTTCGAGTACATATTGGTCCTGATATTTCGAGAAGGATCTTGACTGTCCTAGTTCTGCTACTCGACACTATGGGGCGCTAGTGGTAACAAATGTTGCCATGTACAAGACATTAATAGTAGTGCGCAACAATATTTTTAATACAAATATTTTTACGTATATGTTTACATCATAATAATTTCTTATATGTACTAGACACGACCAAATGTAAAAAAACGCCTTTTGTCGTTTCACGTTAATCATTCCGCAATTACTTTGTACAAGCTTACTCATACGATTTAAAATAATCTTTTACATAAATCGCAATAATTATAAATTAACATATATTTCATTACAATACCTGTTGTTCTTTATCACTAATTTAAGTTCAAATCTTTCTAAATAAGCAAAATATTAAAAAAATAACTAGAGTCAAGTGCTTTGCTTGACGTTGTTTTAATGATATGGCGCTATGTACCATAACGTAGTGTTTGTATAAGTAAAATTCATTGTTTTGCGAATAATCGGCAAAAAGATTCAAATAATCGGTTAAAATATTCAAATAATCGAATCTTAAAAATAATAATAAAATAAGTTTATTTTTGTAATTTCCTACTTTGTCAGCGTAAAGGACAATGGCAGAAAAATAGTTGACAAAAATTATTGCTACTAGAAATAAGTTATATATAAAATGAGTTTTATTATTTTTCTATGATTTTTCAAATAAAAATGTATTTTAATTAAAGCCATAGAAAAAAACAAACATTTTTGGGAATATCAAATGACTTAAATCATTTTACTCTATTCATGTGTTGCCATTTTCTACATTCATACTATTTTTGTATACACTTTGTAAGACTACCAACACAACACACAAACACAAAATATTTTTATATTAAGTTTGTTACGACCCCCAGCTGCCCCGGCAAAGGTCGACTTGGCTAGGGCCCATAGTAGCCTCCGCGACGAGCAGCCGAGGGTTCGGGCCCAGTGGCCTATGGATAATTCTAAATTAATGGCAAATAATCAAGCACATCTTACCGAGTTCCGGAGGTAGGGTTGACCACAGGGTACCGTCAGGGGCAAGTGGGGTGTATGTAAGTAGTATTTAGTAGTGTGTACATGATGTAACCTGACATCCCCGATGTAGTCGGACCGCAGATCCACAGGCGCTGTTTTTCTCCAAATGTGCGATCCCCCAAGTGGTCGATCACCAATTGAAAACTTCTGCTATTATTTTCACCATATTAGATCAACTTTATTGTACATTTAATTAACTTCAAAGTCAACCAAATCAACGTTCATCGAAATTAAAACAAGTGACACACGACACAAGTAAAGAACAGTCGGTCAAAGTTCAACGTTCCATGTTCACTTAGCAACAAATTATAATCACGAGAACGAACGCGGTCTCTTCTCGAGTCACTAAGTTCAGCGTTCTCCCGACAAAGCAAAAATTTCGTCGTACGATATTAAAATGCCACACAAGCAATCAAAACTCAAAAATCAGCCTCGTTGACACGTAAAACGAACGAAAATAGACAACACACAAAAAAGGCACTTAACGCGACGTTACAATTCAATATTAACTTCCAAAAGCAATTAACCGGCCGACGCACGACAAAATCTTTTACCTCGTTATCACGAAACGTACAATTAAGACAACTCCATAGGAGGCACGCGCCCGGCCACCGCGCAACAAAACTTTTCTAGACTTTAACAATACCGTCCGTCGCGCAACAATTATTGGCAATCAGTTAATTTAATCACTCAAAACTCAAATTAGGCCTCTTGTCACATAACGTACAAATTAGACAAATCAATTCGAGACGCTCTGCACGAGACCCAAATCTTTGTTAGTGAATTAGGCGCGCACAATTTACTCAAGTTTTTGACCGTCAAAATCTACACACCGGCCGCGCGCAACTAACCCAGCGTCGCAAACAATACTAGTAGACAAAGCCGCGGCGTTCAAGACACTGGTCACTTCGCCCACGCGTCGAGCGACTCATTCTCCTAGACCGGGCAGGGCGTGGCCCCGCGTGCAAAACGAGCGCCGGCCGGCTCAAGCCGTCAAACCGGTTTTGAATACAAGTTTTAATGTGTTTAAGATTAAGCCTAAACAAAGTTATTATTAGTAATAACTATATTATCAGTAATAATAATAATAAAAGTGATATGGTTGAAAAGAAGTCTCTTACAAAGAACTTCCTACAATAATACATTATCTCAATCATAGTAATATGTATCAATTCCATTTAATGTTATGGCAACACTAACTAAAAAAAATGACAATAATTTTTTTCTGAATTTACGGCTCTGGGATCTAGCTCTTCTGAGAATGTCACTGTATGACACAGAGGCCCTGCAACCATGCCAGAAATATACATTTATAGTATGCAAATATATAACAGAGATACAATAATCTAAACAGGTAGGTAGAGCACATTATGTTGAGAATATATTTAGCTAACATCAAACAACCACAGGACGCATGACTTTTTCCAAGTGACATAAGACATAACCTAAAAAGGTTCAAATCTAAATATCTTTATTGACGCCTTCTCAGGACAAAATTCTTTGACAGAGTTATTAAGGAAGTGACGCTTAACATTTTAAGATATTTTTGATATATAGATGTTACCACTCATTCTCAACTAATTTTATGTATGAAAGTCTGCCATTGTTCTTTGTGTAGACAAAAAAAATCATATCCAATGCCACGCTGAAAACACACTACGTAATTCCAATCTCCCGCCATTTTGGGAGCTTACTGTGCATACTTTTGTGATTTTGTGTTTGTCTTCTTATTTTGTGAGTCGGCTATAACTTGGACTGATTCTACTATATTCGTTGACTTTGGCAAGTTTTATACTCGACTCTAAGCAAGTGATCATAATGTCGAAAGGACGACGTACGTAATTGTTATAGTCGTACTTTAAACTGAAATCACACGAATATTTCGAAAGTGAGTTACAAAAGGGTGGGCGCCTTTTACCAGTGACACAAGTGCAGGATCGTGTCCGGGAAGTACTCAGAATTGGCAAACATTGGCAATTCCCCTGGTGTTGCAGTGGTTCTGCTAATAGCACTATAATAATGGACAAGTCCCCATACCATTCTATCCAAATCTACAAAGCGCCAACCCAAGCGAACAAGAAAACAGGTTTAATAGCATGGGTACAATACAAAGAAGTGGAAATGCTTATGAAAGTATTGAAAGCAGAGCTAATACAATTAGTAAAACGAAATAAACCACGTAAATATTTCTACGTTACTGATAAATAAGCAGAAGATCACTGGCATAAAGTTATAAGACTAACGTCGTATCACTGCCAATATAATGCTATTCAATTGATTCTTATGCTTTTACAGCTATTTAGCACGACACAACACCAAGCCACCTTGCACGGCAAATAAAATGGAAGGTTTGCTGAAGAAAGCATGTGCCCATGCAACAAATGCATTATTGATAAAATAAATAATTAAAAATAATCAAAAACCCGACTGCATAAAAGACAATTTAAAAGTAATGTTTATTTGTCGGTTTATATTTATTTCGTGCACACCCTCTCTAATGTTCAAAATCTCCTATCTCAGGATCGGACTATCTAGTAGAAAGTCCTCGTCCATGGTTTACAATACTTGTAATATATCTAAGCACACCAACAGCTCGCTCGTCACTGTGGCCACAGCACGCGCCCGCCGTCGCGCCCGCAACAGGCTCAAGTCGCCGCGCATTCACTGTTGACGCACACTTAGCAATGAGTTATAGCGTTAACGGCTGCTGTTTTGGAATCTAGTGTGGGGGCAGAAAACAAACAACTTGTTGATATTTGACGGTTTAGTCTGATATAATTACAAGTTGCTGTTACATTGTTGTAAGTTACATGCGCGAAGCTGCAGCGATAATTAGTGTTAGCTCTGGGTGTTGCTAGAGGTTGGGTATGTCGTATATAATTTAATTTGTTTTATGTAATTTGCGTGGTACACAGATGTAAACTTGATCTAATAAGGAAGGGCAGTCGATGAGACCACTAACAATTTTTAACATATAATGTCTGTTATTTGCCTATTTCCTATCTAGGTGAAAAAAATGATATCTTATACACCTCGTATCCATGATCTACTCGCCTACATTTAACCTGTAAATATCTTAGAAACCTATTTTGTATGGGTTTAATGTGGGAAATATACATGTTATATTGCCGATTTCAGACTGCAGACGTATACTACCTAGAATATTACGCACATAAGCACAGAAAAGTTACACGTTAATGGGTTTAATAGAAAATTAAAGGAAAAAAAGTCGTTACTTGATCTTACGATAAAACAAATTTTCATAAGATTAACTTTCTTACTACGTAATCGATGTGTTTAAATCAAACAAATGCTTGGAATCTTGGATTACTCCTTAACCTTTGATTGATGTAACTTTACTAAGGAGATTTTTATTCATAACGTACTGATAATTTATATAGTAGGGTTTCCGAGAAAAGGCATTGTGAAACTTTTTCAAACATTTAAATCAAATTTATTTCGAATACAATATTGTACAAGATTATTCAAAGCTCATTGTAAATGTTTTCAATTAGCGAGTCTATTGATGCCTATGAAAATATTAGTGTCGTCTTCGTATAAGACTATGGCATATTCAAAACATAAAGTAATGTGTTAAATTAAAAAAAAACAAATAGCAAAGGCCCTATACAATGAGCCTTGAGGCACACCAGTAGGAATTGAAATTCACTCGAACGTATACCGATTTATTGTAATCGCCTGGGATCTTTTAGTAATATACAACGAAAATTATCCGTATAGGTTACAGTGTATACTAGCTTTATATAGCTTTTCGAAGAGCAACAGATGGTCTATACGATCAAAAGCTTTATTGAAATCGGTAAATATAGTATCAACTTGTACTCTTGAGTTCATTTTTATGGAGGTGTAATCATTAAAAACTAAAACGGTAAATAATTATTTGTTGTAAATAGTTAGTGTATTCCTGTGATTCTTTAAATTAGATTGGTTACTTACCTTAAACATTACAAATAATACATAGAAGAGAAACTAAATTGTCTAACACATTGTCTTATAAAAAAGAGAATATGCCATAAGGCCCAGCGCCTTTCTTTGGTTTGTGGGCTTAAACCACGGAGCACACAAATTTTTAATCTTCTTGGGATATATACCTATGTCACATATGCTTAAACTATTTTGGCTTTTCGTTCGGCTGGCAGTATTTATTTTTAGGAATAACGAAAAAAGAAATACACTTATTGTTCGCGCCCAAACGCTGGTTTCAAGATTTGACGCCGGAGGGCGCTCGGCTTGGTACCATACCGGTTTTGACGGTCGGGCAAGCGGAGTGGCTTTAGGCAGAGGGCGCGAGCGCAGAAAGTTAGTTGCTTGGATGCAGTGCTGTCGATAGCACGTCGTGAAGTCGCTCGGGATAACCTCCATTTTTTAGAGTCGGTTTTGTTAGCAAATTGTGCATTGACGAGGAATTGTAGTCTAGAATTAGACGCCGGGTTGACAAACACTTATACACTGTAAACTTATAATCTAATTTACTTATAAAAAATATTTTTGATTTTTCGTATTTTATGCGCTGCCATACCGTTCGTCAGATTGCGGTAAAACTTTGTGAACTTATTGCTTGCACTTGCGCGAAGGTTATAGACATAATAAAACTAAGTTACAGTAGGTGACACGCGTGTAGTACCGACAAATTTATTTGAAAGTTGTATAATATTATCATTGTCATTCGTAATTAAACAATATAACTCTTCCAAATTTAAAACGATATTTCCACAATTATTTCTTCTGCGGCTACAACGCGCCGGGTACCAGCTAGTTATATAATAACGGAAGTAGATTCAAAATATTCTGCAAATGAATTGCAAACAGATTCACCAGTATCTCGAGATTGACTCATATTTCAACATAGATAGTAACTGTGATGATCTGTTTAATGAGCTTGTGTAAAACCAAAACAAATGATGTACTGTAACGTATGCTTGCAGTCCGGGCGAGTGCCGGCGCGCATTCGGGCTGTACCTGACGCAGGTGGTGAAGCGGCTGTCGTGCGGCGGCGACGTGTGCGCCGCGCACGCCGCGCTCGTGCTGCGCTTCCTGCGCCGCGCCTCCGCAGCGCTGCGCATGCCCTACCACGTGCAGGTCGGTACCTCTAGCTGCAGCAGTGCAGGTCGGTACCTCTAGCTGCAGCAGTGCAGGTCGGTACCTCTAGCTGCGGCACGTGACGTGTGCGCCGCGCTCGTGCTGCGCTTCCTGCGCCGCGCCTCCGCAGCGCTGCGCATGCCCTACCACGTGCAGGTCGGTACCTCTAGCTGCAGCAGTGCAGGTCGGTACCTCTAGCTGCGGCACGTGACGTGTGCGCCGCGCTCGTGCTGCGCTTCCTGCGCCGCGCCTCCGCAGCGCTGCGCATGCCCTACCACGTGCAGGTCGGTACCTCTAGCTGCAGCAGTGCAGGTCGGTACCTCTAGCTGCAGCAGTGCAGGTCGGTACCTCTAGCTGCGGCACGTGACGTGTGCGCCGCGCTCGTGCTGCGCTTCCTGCGCCGCGCCTCCGCAGCGCTGCGCATGCCCTACCACGTGCAGGTCGGTACCTCTAGCTGCAGCAGTGCAGGTCGGTACCTCTAGCTGCGGCACGTGACGTGTGCGCCGCGCTCGTGCTGCGCTTCCTGCGCCGCGCCTCCGCAGCGCTGCGCATGCCCTACCACGTGCAGGTCGGTACCTCTAGCTGCAGCAGTGCAGGTCGGTACCTCTAGCTGCAGCAGTGCAGGTCGGTACCTCTAGCTGCGGCACGTGACGTGTGCGCCGCGCTCGTGCTGCGCTTCCTGCGCCGCGCCTCCGCAGCGCTGCGCATGCCCTACCACGTGCAGGTCGGTACCTCTAGCTGCAGCAGTGCAGGTCGGTACCTCTAGCTGCAGCAGTGCAGGTCGGTACCTCTAGCTGCGGCACGTGACGTGTGCGCCGCGCTCGTGCTGCGCTTCCTGCGCCGCGCCTCCGCAGCGCTGCGCATGCCCTACCACGTGCAGGTCGGTACCTCTAGCTGCAGCAGTGCAGGTCGGTACCTCTAGCTGCGGCACGTGACGTGTGCGCCGCGCTCGTGCTGCGCTTCCTGCGCCGCGCCTCCGCAGCGCTGCGCATGCCCTACCACGTGCAGGTCGGTACCTCTAGCTGCAGCAGTGCAGGTCGGTACCTCTAGCTGCAGCAGTGCAGGTCGGTACCTCTAGCTGCAGCAGTGCAGGTCGGTACCTCTAGCTGCGGCACGTGACGTGTGCGCCGCGCTCGTGCTGCGCTTCCTGCGCCGCGCCTCCGCAGCGCTGCGCATGCCCTACCACGTGCAGGTCGGTACCTCTAGCTGCAGCAGTGCAGGTCGGTACCTCTAGCTGCAGCAGTGCAGGTCGGTACCTCTAGCTGCAGCAGTGCAGGTCGGTACCTCTAGCTGCGGCACGTGACGTGTGCGCCGCGCTCGTGCTGCGCTTCCTGCGCCGCGCCTCCGCAGCGCTGCGCATGCCCTACCACGTGCAGGTCGGTACCTCTAGCTGCAGCAGTGCAGGTCGGTACCTCTAGCTGCAGCAGTGCAGGTCGGTACCTCTAGCTGCAGCAGTGCAGGTCGGTACCTCTAGCTGCGGCACGTGACGTGTGCGCCGCGCTCGTGCTGCGCTTCCTGCGCCGCGCCTCCGCAGCGCTGCGCATGCCCTACCACGTGCAGGTCGGTACCTCTAGCTGCAGCAGTGCAGGTCGGTACCTCTAGCTGCGGCACGTGACGTGTGCGCCGCGCTCGTGCTGCGCTTCCTGCGCCGCGCCTCCGCAGCGCTGCGCATGCCCTACCACGTGCAGGTCGGTACCTCTAGCTGCAGCAGTGCAGGTCGGTACCTCTAGCTGCAGCAGTGCAGGTCGGTACCTCTAGCTGCAGCAGTGCAGGTCGGTACCTCTAGCTGCAGCAGTGCAGGTCGGTACCTCTAGCTGCAGCAGTGCAGGTCGGTACCTCTAGCTGCGGCACGTGACGTGTGCGCCGCGCTCGTGCTGCGCTTCCTGCGCCGCGCCTCCGCAGCGCTGCGCATGCCCTACCACGTGCAGGTCGGTACCTCTAGCTGCAGCAGTGCAGGTCGGTACCTCTAGCTGCAGCAGTGCAGGTCGGTACCTCTAGCTGCAGCAGTGCAGGTCGGTACCTCTAGCTGCGGCACGTGACGTGTGCGCCGCGCTCGTGCTGCGCTTCCTGCGCCGCGCCTCCGCAGCGCTGCGCATGCCCTACCACGTGCAGGTCGGTACCTCTAGCTGCAGCAGTGCAGGTCGGTACCTCTAGCTGCAGCAGTGCAGGTCGGTACCTCTAGCTGCAGCAGTGCAGGTCGGTACCTCTAGCTGCGGCACGTGACGTGTGCGCCGCGCTCGTGCTGCGCTTCCTGCGCCGCGCCTCCGCAGCGCTGCGCATGCCCTACCACGTGCAGGTCGGTACCTCTAGCTGCAGCAGTGCAGGTCGGTACCTCTAGCTGCAGCAGTGCAGGTCGGTACCTCTAGCTGCGGCACGTGACGTGTGCGCCGCGCTCGTGCTGCGCTTCCTGCGCCGCGCCTCCGCAGCGCTGCGCATGCCCTACCACGTGCAGGTCGGTACCTCTAGCTGCAGCAGTGCAGGTCGGTACCTCTAGCTGCGGCACGTGACGTGTGCGCCGCGCTCGTGCTGCGCTTCCTGCGCCGCGCCTCCGCAGCGCTGCGCATGCCCTACCACGTGCAGGTCGGTACCTCTAGCTGCAGCAGTGCAGGTCGGTACCTCTAGCTGCAGCAGTGCAGGTCGGTACCTCTAGCTGCAGCAGTGCAGGTCGGTACCTCTAGCTGCGGCACGTGACGTGTGCGCCGCGCTCGTGCTGCGCTTCCTGCGCCGCGCCTCCGCAGCGCTGCGCATGCCCTACCACGTGCAGGTCGGTACCTCTAGCTGCAGCAGTGCAGGTCGGTACCTCTAGCTGCAGCAGTGCAGGTCGGTACCTCTAGCTGCAGCAGTGCAGGTCGGTACCTCTAGCTGCGGCACGTGACGTGTGCGCCGCGCTCGTGCTGCGCTTCCTGCGCCGCGCCTCCGCAGCGCTGCGCATGCCCTACCACGTGCAGGTCGGTACCTCTAGCTGCAGCAGTGCAGGTCGGTACCTCTAGCTGCGGCACGTGACGTGTGCGCCGCGCTCGTGCTGCGCTTCCTGCGCCGCGCCTCCGCAGCGCTGCGCATGCCCTACCACGTGCAGGTCGGTACCTCTAGCTGCAGCAGTGCAGGTCGGTACCTCTAGCTGCAGCAGTGCAGGTCGGTACCTCTAGCTGCAGCAGTGCAGGTCGGTACCTCTAGCTGCGGCACGTGACGTGTGCGCCGCGCTCGTGCTGCGCTTCCTGCGCCGCGCCTCCGCAGCGCTGCGCATGCCCTACCACGTGCAGGTCGGTACCTCTAGCTGCAGCAGTGCAGGTCGGTACCTCTAGCTGCAGCAGTGCAGGTCGGTACCTCTAGCTGCAGCAGTGCAGGTCGGTACCTCTAGCTGCGGCACGTGACGTGTGCGCCGCGCTCGTGCTGCGCTTCCTGCGCCGCGCCTCCGCAGCGCTGCGCATGCCCTACCACGTGCAGGTCGGTACCTCTAGCTGCAGCAGTGCAGGTCGGTACCTCTAGCTGCGGCACGTGACGTGTGCGCCGCGCTCGTGCTGCGCTTCCTGCGCCGCGCCTCCGCAGCGCTGCGCATGCCCTACCACGTGCAGGTCGGTACCTCTAGCTGCAGCAGTGCAGGTCGGTACCTCTAGCTGCAGCAGTGCAGGTCGGTACCTCTAGCTGCAGCAGTGCAGGTCGGTACCTCTAGCTGCAGCAGTGCAGGTCGGTACCTCTAGCTGCAGCAGTGCAGGTCGGTACCTCTAGCTGCGGCACGTGACGTGTGCGCCGCGCTCGTGCTGCGCTTCCTGCGCCGCGCCTCCGCAGCGCTGCGCATGCCCTACCACGTGCAGGTCGGTACCTCTAGCTGCAGCAGTGCAGGTCGGTACCTCTAGCTGCAGCAGTGCAGGTCGGTACCTCTAGCTGCAGCAGTGCAGGTCGGTACCTCTAGCTGCGGCACGTGACGTGTGCGCCGCGCTCGTGCTGCGCTTCCTGCGCCGCGCCTCCGCAGCGCTGCGCATGCCCTACCACGTGCAGGTCGGTACCTCTAGCTGCAGCAGTGCAGGTCGGTACCTCTAGCTGCAGCAGTGCAGGTCGGTACCTCTAGCTGCAGCAGTGCAGGTCGGTACCTCTAGCTGCGGCACGTGACGTGTGCGCCGCGCTCGTGCTGCGCTTCCTGCGCCGCGCCTCCGCAGCGCTGCGCATGCCCTACCACGTGCAGGTCGGTACCTCTAGCTGCAGCAGTGCAGGTCGGTACCTCTAGCTGCAGCAGTGCAGGTCGGTACCTCTAGCTGCGGCACGTGACGTGTGCGCCGCGCTCGTGCTGCGCTTCCTGCGCCGCGCCTCCGCAGCGCTGCGCATGCCCTACCACGTGCAGGTCGGTACCTCTAGCTGCAGCAGTGCAGGTCGGTACCTCTAGCTGCAGCAGTGCAGGTCGGTACCTCTAGCTGCAGCAGTGCAGGTCGGTACCTCTAGCTGCAGCAGTGCAGGTCGGTACCTCTAGCTGCGGCACGTGACGTGTGCGCCGCGCTCGTGCTGCGCTTCCTGCGCCGCGCCTCCGCAGCGCTGCGCATGCCCTACCACGTGCAGGTCGGTACCTCTAGCTGCAGCAGTGCAGGTCGGTACCTCTAGCTGCGGCACGTGACGTGTGCGCCGCGCTCGTGCTGCGCTTCCTGCGCCGCGCCTCCGCAGCGCTGCGCATGCCCTACCACGTGCAGGTCGGTACCTCTAGCTGCAGCAGTGCAGGTCGGTACCTCTAGCTGCAGCAGTGCAGGTCGGTACCTCTAGCTGCAGCAGTGCAGGTCGGTACCTCTAGCTGCGGCACGTGACGTGTGCGCCGCGCTCGTGCTGCGCTTCCTGCGCCGCGCCTCCGCAGCGCTGCGCATGCCCTACCACGTGCAGGTCGGTACCTCTAGCTGCAGCAGTGCAGGTCGGTACCTCTAGCTGCAGCAGTGCAGGTCGGTACCTCTAGCTGCAGCAGTGCAGGTCGGTACCTCTAGCTGCGGCACGTGACGTGTGCGCCGCGCTCGTGCTGCGCTTCC